TATGCCAACGTGGCAAAGATTTCAGGAAAACATAGTTCAATTCGAATAATAATCTAATTCCACTAATTTATTATATAATCTAATTAATATATTTAATATGTTGACCTCAAAGGCTAAAGAAAAATTAACTTTTTCTACCGATACGTGAATATCTTGCTTAGACTGTGGCAATTTATGATTGATGTATGAATATATGAAAGGTATTATATTTTCTATTGCATTCTATTTCGTTATTTACTTATGTTTGTTACAGGTGATATGTTCGTTTAATTCATTTATGCATATATTTTTGTTAAAAATGTTTCAATATCAACTTTTTGTATGAGCTATGATTTAAAGTTTTAAGTTGGAAATTACAAAGTTGTGAATTATATGTGGACTATATAAATAAAATACAATTAATTAAGGTTTTTAGTTGAGATAAAACAGTTAATGGCATGAGCGGGATTTGAACCCACGATCCTCGGCTTGATACGCCGCTGCTCTACCACTTGAGCTATCGTGACCTCGAACTGTTTTATCTCAACTAAAAACCTTAATTAATTGTAATATATTAATTGGTCAAGCGGACCACGAAATTAGTGAATTTAATAAAATACAATATTTCACGTTATCAAATAATATCACACTTTTTTAACACAAAATTGCAATAATAATTTTTGTTTAAATGAAAAAAAGGACACAAATCTCCAAAATAAGTGGACTATTGCAATAAATAATCTACAACAATCTACATTCATAATTTAAAATTTCTTCAAATTAGGCTCAGCTTGTCAACACCAGTCACTGCAAACATCCCACTTCGAAAAAAAAAACATAATATTTTTTATTTCATTTTTAAAAAAATTAGGACGATTTAGGACCGTTTACGATCTATTTATTTCATATGTATCGACGCTTTCAATGTTTTCATTTTATTGTTTTATATAAATTCATTTTCTTTATAATCTTCGTCGGCTTATATCAGTCGTTTGATCGACCTTTACCATCCTGGAACTGGGGAAGAAATTTATTTTCGATTAAATATTTCGATATTTTATTTCATTTAATTTTAATGAAGTTATCACTTATAAAACTCCATATTCCTAACACAGATATCAAAATATAATGATCACGGATTTATTTTTATTTTTTTTTTTTTTTTATAGAAATGTATTAATTCTCATATTGTTACGAGTGTTAATACCCAAAGACACAAAAAACGGACACTTGTATTTACATGTTTCTTTTCCAAAAATAACGAGTTGTAAAGATTGATATTCGACTTAAAAGTATACACAACATTAATAACTTGTTGTTTACCTTTACAAGGTGTTACTAATTCTTTTACACTCTAGATTAAAAATATTAAAAAATCACTTCAATTTCATCTTTTCCAGAGCCACCTAGTTTTTTAAATTGTTTTCTTCGACGAAACAATAATTTTGAGACAATTTTTATTTTCTGGAAAGCATGGTTATTACTTTTATGATAAAGAAAAAATACAAAAAAATGTAATTTTGTGTTATTTATGATTAATTCGTTGAATTTTTCCAGTAGTTACTTTTTTCTACTTATCATTGAATTGTAAATTCGAAGGGTATAACAAATCTTATTTAACGAAAATACTGTACTTAATAGTAATAGTTAAATTAGGGGCGTCGGTGGCCGCAACGGTTTAGGCGTTGACACGGCCCTCATCACAAAGGTCCCGGGTTCGAATCCAGCGGTCCTGCATTCGAACCCGACATACTTTCAAGCTTTTTTTTCATAAACACCGGCACCCTGAGGGTTTATATGATCTCTTCTGTTGCGAACCCTCGTAACAAAAATAATAAAAAATTAAATTTAAAAATAAACAAGTATCGAGACTTTATCTACTGCTAGTTGTTAACTCAGTTTTTGATAACATGTAAAAATTAGAAGTTTAAAAAATGAATTATTGAAAAATAGATAAATGGATAAAATTCAAAGGATTATCACATTATTATTATTTTAATCAAATCCGTATACAGGGTGTCCTTTTTAGATGGCTCGGCTGAATTCTCTTGGATCAATGACGCTATAAAAAACGTTTTAATATTTTTTTGTATAGTTTAAAATGTTTACCATTTTTGTAGAAAAATTACACAGGGCACCTCAGGCCCAGTCAACTTCAAAATTTCAAATACGACCCTATACGTCCTGACAAATCATTTTAAAGGATTTTTTTTACGAAGTTCGAAGTTTAATCGAAGTTTTAAAAAAATAAAACACTGAAAATAAAGAAACGGAAAAAGTTTAACGGGTTTGTCATATTATTATTTTTCTTTAACAAAAATAATATATACATGTTATTTATGTTAAGGCAAATAGACTTTTACATATTTATCACAATATTTTATAGAATATCTAATTACATCTATAACTCTGGAATCCTTTAAATAAACAAAAATGTTTTATGATAAGCAAAAAATAATTCTTCTTCAAAAAATAGTTAGATTTCACAAACTTTGTTATATATTATTAAATCGTTGAATTTTTTTTTTAGCAGTTTCATTTCATCACATAACTGAATCGTAAATTTTAGACAATAGTGTTTTAGTATATATCAAAAATATTGAATATAATCGTAACAATTCTGTCTAATGCTTATCTTAGCAAATTGCTATTATACAAATAAGAAATTTCATAAACTAAAACATTGAAACAGATAAAAATTCATAGGATTTGTCATATTAATTTTTAAAGGAAAACGGTGTATAAATTGTGTTTATTTTAATAGTAGATTTTTATATATTTTTATATATATCATAGATTATCTATTACATATATCGTTATGTTGTTTGTAGATTTTTTCACGTGAGTACAATGTGGATCGTATAAATTAATAATAATTAACCGAAATGTTAATTTTTTCTATCATATAACTGCCTAAAAACAGTTCAGTAAATTTTATTTACTTCAATTGGTAGATAAACTTTTATACATTTATCTAAATATTTTATTTATACAATTTTTTCAGTAGTTTAATTTTTTCATCTCACCAGAAGAATTGTAAATTCGGCAGATATAAAGTTTAATTCCAGGTAAATTCTGTATGAAAATTAGTAACGTATTTAATTTTTTATTAAAAAAATAAAATAAGATAAACGAAAAAAATAGTTTTATTATTTTAAGAAAGTCCGTAGTTTTTTTTAATAAATTTCCTACTTCATTTTTTTAGGAAAAACAAATTTTACAAAAGTAAAAGTTAAAGAAAAAAAGTAAAAAATATCCAGCGTTACATTAAATTTTTGTATGTTTCAGGAATTTACACTAATTATCGGAATTTCATTTTTTAGACAAAAATTTAAATTGTTCATTATGTTTTTAAAAAAATAAAAAATGCCGGCTTGTCGATGCAAAATGGTCATATATCTTTTTTTTTACAAGAAACAATATGTAATGAACAATTTTAAAAAAAATAAGGTGCTGATGATAAGTGCAAATTACCTAAACGTTGTAAAAATTAAATGGAAAAATGAAGCATTAAATTTATTTTTAAAAACCCACATGAAAAGGTTTACTGGTTTTTTAATCACAAAAAATCTACTCTATATAATACATATTATAATCTTATTATTTATCAAAAATATGTGTAATATTTATTTTAACAAATCGCTATAGAAAAAAAAATTAAAACAAACATTGGAAAACAAAGAAATGGAAAAACTGAATGAAAGGGTTTATCATATTATTTTTTTAACGAAAAAGTATATAAATGTTACTCACTTTAATGGTAAAGAGTTTTTATGTATTTATCTACATATTTTATAGAATAGCTATTACACATGTCACTGGAATCCTTTATGCTGACAATAAAAATGTCGTTTTACGATATAGAAAACCAATTTTTCTTTTAAAAGTATTTAGATTTCACAAGTGCTGAAATTTTGTGTTAGTTATTACTAATTCGCTGAATTGTTTCAGTAGTTCCATTTTCTCATCTCATCACTGAATCGTAAATACAAAAATATTGAAAAAAAATTAGATGTTTAAACAAAGAAAGCAGAGAAATGGATAAAATTCAAACAGTTTGTCATTTAAACAAAAAATAAACTACTGGATATAAATTAGGCTAAATAAAAGAGAGCAACCGACAGTCTTTTCTAGCTTCTAAATGTGTCCCTATTAATTTTATGCTGCAATAAATAAAATTGTTTGTTTAAATAGTTAAATTATTTCTCTTTATTATTCTGTACATTTGTTCTGAAACTCCTACAAAAAAGAATGTATTATTTATTTTGCATTATATTATAAAAAATATTTTATAAAAGCTGAATATATAATAATATATTGAACTTTACTTCTTTAGGGCGATAGAATCCCCCATAGGTAATAAACGCTTACTATGCAAACTACATGCACGTTTTATTAAATTTGTTATATTGTGGAGGTAACATTGGAGTGGACTTAATTACGACACCTTGCTCGGGGTTGTGCGATTGTTTGTTTTCATCCACATACAAAACAGTGTTAAAATTCAACGTGCTGAATATTAGTCGTATTGCTCGTATTAAAAAATTTCTATTTGTGAAATGGGCACAAATGAGAACGCTTTTGTATATATTGAACTGTGTTTATAAATAATGTACGTTTTACCGCTTTGGAGCAACACCACTCTTACAAACCGGTTAAAAAGGAACCTCAGCAATTGATCTCGGGGTCTTGAACGATATATCAACTTTTCAATACAAATCCATTTGACTCTTGAAAGAGAAACAGCACCACGTATCGTAAATTACCGTCTTCACAAATCTCATTTCTCCGTTTACTTACCGTCAGTCGATTTTCGGTTGAACTTATTTTACAAAGGATTTATTATAAAAACTAGTGATTTTTCAATAAGTTTTCAGTCGGAATTTGTAAATATTTTTAAAATATTTTTCCCGTGAAGAAACAAAGCCGTTCACGACTGTGATTTATTAAAGGGCGGTTGTGAAAAAGTGTGCTTTCTGCCGAAAACAGACGGATAAAAGTGGAAATTTAATTTTTTTTACCTATTCGGTGCATGACAGTACGACGACGAGAGACGAATGGATGTAACATGTGTCGCGTGGCGGTAACGCGAGAGGACTGGAGTCGGTTGTGCTGGAGGGACGCCGCTCCGTGAGTAGTGCGCACACGCGCGACTCCAGCCCGATACCTCCTCCAGGAATTACCATATTTCTTACCGACGATTTACGCCCGACGGTATTGCCCACGCTCCACCAGATACACTTTAACCTTTGCGTTTATGCTGGAAAAATTACCCGTGGCACTTTTTTACTTTCTTGTCCAGGCACCGTCATAAAAGGGGAACTCACAAAACAAACCCTGGACGTGTCTCCTTCAATGTTTACCGTGAAAATTTACAGTAAAATCTGTACTCATACGAAAACTAAAACCCCCACGTTCACCAAATCGAGTTTATTACATCCCCTTGTTTATTTATTTTAATGATCATCATCATGATTTCAAAATCGAGGAGATGTTAATATTTAATATAAACCCAAAATCTATGTATAAAAAAATTCTAAATAGAAGATGGAACGATAGTGTTTATTAATGGATAAAACTAATAATGTTATAATAATGGACCTAATAATATAAAATATATCCTATTAACATATGTAAATGAAATTTCTACTAAATTAAATAAATTTGTAAAAAAAGAGAAAATGTCAAAGTTGTTTACAAATTTGAAAACAAAATGGGAAAAAAATTTTTACAAAATGAAAAGAAAGAAGAAAACGAAAACATATCCAAGTTACATTAAATTTTTGTATGTTTCGGGAATTTACACTAATCATCAGAATCTTATTTTTTTAATGAAAAATTTAAATTGTTCATTATAATATAGTTTCTTTTAAAAGTTATATGCGGTCATAAATCGTTTAAAAGAAACTATATATAATGAACAATTTAAAGAAAAAAAGATGCTGATGTTGGGGATAAATTGCCCAAACGGCCTAACAATTTAATTAAAAAATAAAGTAATTAAATTTATTTTTAAAAAACCACATGAAAAAGTTTGCTGGTTTTTTAACCACAAAAAATTTATGTTCCATAATACAAATTATAGTCTTATTATTTATCAAAAATATGTGTACAAAAAAGTATATGAATTTGACTCACTTTAATGGTAAATAGTTTTTTATATATTCATGTCCTTTATGTTGATAATAAAAATGTCGTTGTATGATATAGAAAAATAATTTTTCTGTCAAAAGTATTTAGATTGCACAAGTGTTGTAATTTTTTGTTAGTTATTACTAATTCGCTAGATTTTTCCACTGGTTTCCTCTTCTCATCACTGGATCGTAAATTCAAAATTATTGTACCAGATATTTGTAATAACTATGTTTAATATTTGTTTTAACCAATTGCTATTGGAAAAAATTAGAAGTTTAAAAAAGAAAGTAGAGAAATGGATAAAATTCAAAATGTTTGTCATTTAAAAAAAATATGTATGTAAATTAAGTTAAATAAAACAGTGAAACGGACAGTCTTTTCTCGCTTCTAAATGTATTAACTACAACTAATAATGTTAATCATGATGGACCTAATAATATAAAATATGTCCTATTAAAATATGGAAAAGAAATTTCAACTAAATTAAATAAATTGCTAAAAGGAAAAAGAGAAAATGTCAGTTGTTTATAAGTTTGCAAACAAAATAGGGAAACAAATTTTACAAAATTAAAAGATAAAAATAGGAAAAATATCCAACGTTGTATATTGTGTTGATTGTAACGACTGCCCCCATACAAAAATCGCAGTAGATCGGGAACGGGGTCGTCGAAACATTCAATTGAACACAAACACAACTTAAGTTAAATATTGGCGACATAAAAATTGTAGACTATGAAAAAATTCGCGGGCGTAGGTCACTCAAGAATCTATGTACATACAAAAACATCCCAATGCGTGCAATTTGAAAACTGATTGCAATAATATTAGGACAATTTATTCAAATTTATTAACAAAAAATAATATTTTTAGAATATAGATTGTAATCTAGACAACGCATGTAACTATAAATGTTTATATAGTTATTTATACATTTATATATTCATTTATGTATGTGTTTATTTATACCTTTATATATACGTTCTGATGTTTGTAAAAAAAAACCTTCGAACAGAAGGAAATTTGACATTAGTGCGTTGGATTATGTACTTAACTGGCCTGTTATCTTAATGAAATTGTTTTGTGATAAAGAAAGTCATGTTTTTATTTTGTCACTTGTAACGTAATTATCGTATTTTCGCAGAACTTTAAAAACATTGTTTTTGTAAGTAACAAAAAAAATGTGTATTTCTTCTTGAATTACTTGATTGTTAATCGTCTTTGTCATTGTAGCGCCTTGCGAATGACTAAATATAAAGTCGAAAAGCTTGGCAATAAAACAAAACCTCGTTGTTTATCTTGGCCGCATACCCGATAACTGAGAGCATATTTATTTTAATGGCGTTCCATTTAGTTGGATTATCCAACATAATAATAAATAATGTTTCACACCTCATAATTGAGATAACAATAATCAAAAATATCAATGATTTAATGTTACAACTATGTAATAAATGCTTTAACCGTCAACAATAACAAATTGAAATGAGTAAAATTGTAACTGACTTTGAATTACAATTATCATTTTTACACGATTTTAATAGTCCCATACCTGAGTGGGCCGCAATAGTGCTTTTCTCCAGAACATATTTACCCCCTTGTGAGATTTTACCTGAAGAAGAAAACAGGACACCCGGTAATTATTTTTTTTTACAAAACTAAAACAATTATTTCCTAAAAAACGTTTTTTTCGAGACAGTGCTCAGATCTAGAGAATTGTATAGCCACTGTCTTGTCAGTATTAACAGATAAAAAGTTATCCCTAAAACATTTATTCAGGAAATTTATCTTTTCTTGCGTTTCATTCCAAGAAGGTGATAGTTAACAAAAGGTGGTCAGCGTACAAAAATAAATAAATAAATTTACTTTTACATAATGGTATCCGATAGAGTTAGTGAAAAGCTGAGCGATGACGGACAAGTAGAGAGAAAACAACAAGAGGCTTAAACCATTGCCCTGTAACATCCCGTCATGTACCGGAATTTCTTGGGAGTAAAGAGACTCTCCGTCTACGAACAGCATTATACAAACTCCTAATGATTTGCAGTAGTTTTCGACTAATTCCAAAACTATAAAGTTTTTACTATAATTTAGTGTGATTGTCACTAACAAAACAGTATCGAATAAAATTGTTTGAATATGTCAGAATCATTACTGAAATCTAATTGTTGAAGATTTCAATTTCGAAGCCATGTAGGAACTGTTCCTTAGGCATATACATAAGAAAGTATCAACAACGCGCGAAAAAAGAAAAAATATGAATTATCATGTGTGCAGTCTAGTTTCAAGAATTTAATTCACTCATCTTTATGTTGTGTGAAATATCGAGGCTTCAGCATAATCCCAAAGTGAACTTGGGAATATAACTTTATTGATTAAGACTAAGTCATGATTAAATTTTAGAATCAAGTTTGTTGTCCGACCCGACAACATTTAGAACTGTTAATAATATATTGGATTTTGACCCTTTAATCTAGTCATACTAGATAATCCTTGTCCAACTGGTTTTGCTTTTTTGGTGTGTCAGACGCGTTTCACCTTTTGGCAAAGTTCAAATAATACGACTTCGATTTGACTACAATAATTTTTAATAGCTTCCTGATAATCCACGCACCATCCAAATATTTGTTATTTGTTATAATAATTAGAATGAAGAAGAATTACTTTGTTTATACATTTTTCTAAATTGGTTCATTCTATTTTAATATTTTTGTAACGAATACGAATTCGCATTCATAAATTTTACTTTGTCGTCGTCATTTATTCCAGGTCCAGGGGAGTTTGTAAAGGATTGCGATTCTTCTAAACTTTCAAGTAAATGACACTTGACTTTGCCATTCCCTTTCCTTTAACGAACTTGGCCTGTTCTGTTAAACCTGCAGATGCTTTTACGCCTTCTTCTGCCTATAAATTTCTCAAAAAATCGTAAACGTTATAATACAGTTAGGTCGGGATTGTTATCATCAACTAGTTATTAGATATTTGAATTTTGAATCTAATGTGCTAGTACGTGCAGGAAATGTTATTTATTAATCTTCCATGATATAGATGTAGATGAAGATGTATTAGTCGGGGTGTAATATACTGCGCCCTTCAAGAACTGTTGTATCCGCCGTTCTGTACCTAAAGCACACCGGTGACTCCTATTTCAGGAACGTGATTAGTAGTAGGCCCGGTTTCTACGGTCACATTGTAAGTACCAAAGAACTTCCTCCTGCGGGCAAGTGTGGCACCACGGGTTGTTAAAACGTACGTTGGTGTCTCCCCTGCCTCTTTGCAGAACCTGCATGTGCCGTGCTGTCTTGGATTATACCAATTTTCTTTAAATGTCCATTTAGTTTGCAATGTTCTGATTAGGATTCGCAGTTTTTTCCTGCTTCCTTTTACACATTCTATCACTTCCTTCCTTCCGGAATTTGTTAGGAGGTTCTTGGATTGTTTGTATCCAATGAGTGAATTCCATTGTTCCCTCAATTTCTTTTTATCCTTCTGTCTAAGGTACTCATTGATAGTGTGGGATCCTATGCCACAGCAGATCCCGTGTACTACCAGTGGTATAGCAGCCCCTTCCTTGCAATGGTGTCCGCTTTCTCGTTTCCTTCTACTCCCATATGTCCTGGGACCCAGCAGAGGCTGACTTTTTTCTGCGTACCTAATATGTTTAATTTGGTTTTGCGGTTCAACACCATTTTTGAACTAATGATATTTGAACTTAGTGCTTTGATGGCTGCTCAGCTATCTGACATGATAGCTATGTTCTTGGTTTTGTACCCTATAATCAAGTTGAATTGAGTATACCTCGAGATTGCGTGGATCTCGGCTTGGAAGGTACTGGTGTATTTTTGCATGGGTTTTCCGTATTTGATTCCAAGAGCGATTAGTCCTACCCCTGTACCTTCTTGTGTACTAGATACATCAGTATACTAAAAGATGGTGCCTTCTTGGAAGGTGTTTCGTCTCGTTCCCATTCTTTTTTGGTACCTAGGTTTATTTGTAAGTTTTGATTAAA